AGGATGAATTAGACGGGGGAAAGGTTAAAGACATGACACCAATTGGAGACCACCACTGTCCTTGGATTGGGTGATAATGTGAATGGAGCAACACTTGTGTGAAGCCCTCCTCCCACAAGCCTACAGATGCCTTATATGTTCCTAAACTGATATAACACTAAGCAACTCCACTGGGATGACAGTCGTCTCTCCCCCCAGACCTTGGCCCTTGAGAGCAGGGGCTCTGTCTCCTTCTTTATTTTATCTCTAGTCCCTAGCACATGGTAGCCTAGCCAGTAAATAAATATTTATGAAATGAATTAGTTTGAGGGACAGATAAGACTGTGTATAGATATTTGAAAATAATCCCGTGGAGTTTGAGTTTACTGGAGTAGACTCCTGGAGGTAAGATATCTAGTAAATGGTGGTACCAGGATTTGAACCTCAATTCTTGTAACTTCAAAACTACACCATGCTAGCTTTTCAAAATTAAAATTTGCTTTTCTGAGTATTTTTTTATGGTTACATTTGATATATTTCAAATTTAGAACAACTAAAGATATTACAGTAAGTTCTAAGCATATAGTAAGAAATAATCAATTTTATTAGTTTTGAGTTGCTATAATTGATTTTAGGTTTCATTTCCTACTTTAGGAAAATCTAAAACAAATAAAAGAACAAATAGAAGATCATAAAAAACGAATAGAGAAGTTGGAGGAGTATGCAAAAACGTGCATGTAGGTATAGTAAAAAAAATATTCCTTGCGGTTTTCTAATTTTCAAGGATCTGGTATATTTGTGGTATATTCATCAAATAAATGCTTTCATAGTATAACAATGTTTTTACTCCATTGTTTTCATGTCATTGTAGATAATTAAAATTGTACTTAACGACATAAATAAAATATTTAAGTGTTAAATATTTTCCAGTAGTGAAACTTAAAACTCTCTTTTGGTATTGATATTTTATAATAAAAGTTATGTCATAAAAACTAGTACAACCTAAGTATTCTACCACTAAGAATTTTTTAAATTGGCATTTATTATTATTAAGCTCATGATGATTGCTCTGGTTATAGTCATCTGTCCTTTGTCAGTATTTAGAAATACGTATCTTTTGAGTCAACAAAGAATGATCAAAATCCCTTTTGCCCAAGTTTGATACTGGATGTATTTTATTGCATTTTTCATCATTTAAAATTGATAGAGCACTATTCCATTCCCCTGCGGTGCCAGACCCGACTATATGGTATTTTGTAATTCCTAAATTTTGGTTTTTCTTTCTACCATATAATTTATGTTGTTGTTATGTAGCGATTGCTTGAAGGAGAAGAAACAGCAAGAGGAAGCCCTAGTGGGTGAAATTGAAAAAACAAAATCAAGAATTTCTGAAATTAATGAAGAGATGACTCTTATTAGAAGTGAACTGCAAAATGCTGGCATTGATAACCATGAGGGGAAACGTCAGAAGAAGAGAGCAGAAGTTCTGGAACACCTTAAAAGACTTTACCCAGATTCTGTGGTAATTAGAATGAATAGTTAATTTAAACAAAAAGGTTAAACTTTTTTATTTGGGATTAAAAGTGTTATTATATGGAAGCAGAATTATTTCAGAAAGTTTTAAGTTTTGTTTTAAATTATTTATATTTAAAATATAATAGTAAATAATTGGGGTAAAATGTAAGTAACTTCCAGTAGTATTATAGATAAATGATTATTGAGGAGAAACATTGACATAAACATGTTACACAGAAAGTCCAAGTTATGGCCAGTATCCCCAAAGGACATGAGTACTGTGAAGTAGTCTGCCCCGCTCCAGACAAATATCCTCAAACCTCATATTCTTCATGGTTTCAATTTTTTTTAATTCTATGTTCAATAGACATCATTGGCATGATTTTATAACAATGAAGTTTTGTTCTCTAAATCTGACTGTGCATCCAGTATTGCTAGTGTATTTCATTAGCCCCAATACAGTAATATCTAATCTGTTGCTTAGGGTGTCAACTTCACAAAATTATTTCTTTTGGTATTGGAGTCTGGCATCTCACTGTCTTGTCCCTAATCCCAGTGTACACTGTGCAGCCCTTATTTCAACGTGGCCTATTTTCAGCATTTGGCAGTTAGCCACTTAACTCTGCTTTGAAACACCTGCCCTTTGGCCTTTATGATGCCACACTCTCGTGGTTTTCCTCCTTTCTGGCCACCTCTTCTGACTTTCTGACTCTTAAATGTTGGTCTTGACTTTTAGATAATGATGGAGGAATAAGGCTCAGTCACAGAATCCTTTCCCCAGTACCAAACAAAAGGACAAAAACTAGTTTTAAAAACCTAGTTCAACAACCAAACAAGGAAAGGGGCTCATACATCTAATGCCGTAAACTTCAGAAAATGATAATAGCCCAGGATTTTTTAAAAAATGAAGTATAGCAATCCTTATTTTTAACTCTGCAGAAGGCAAACGGATAAATTAATTCCTGAAACATCTCATTTAGTATCCCTTAATATAGCAAGAAGCAAATTCATGTCTATTTGTTTCCTTTTGATTAAAATTGTGGATCAGAGAATATGAACCTCTGATGCTCTTAGATAAAAATGAAGTCTTGAGAACTCATTAAATTGAAAGCCATTTCAAAGCCTTCCCCCCAAAATAGGATCTGTCCTCTTCCCCCAAGGTAAAGGAACCTTAATATGGACTATTAATTAAAACTCAGAAGAAAGAGCAAAACTCAGATATTCAAACAAAGCATGTGCACAGCCTTAGCTTAGCTCTCACTTGCCCCTGTCCTCTAAGCCCTTAGATCATAGGAAATAGATCGGAAAATACCTGGGAGGTAAAACAGAAAATACTCCATCAGCTGGTACTCAGAGGAGATAACCATCTCAGTTCTAAGTGAGGCAATCAAAAACGTTATCCACAGCAAATAAAAGGTCTGAACAGAGCTGTCCACATTAAACACAAGCGAGGTGAAAAGAATTGCTATGGCAGCTATAGGTACATATAATAATAGAAAAATGATTTTAAAAGCATTTAGAAGTCAAAGACTAGTCTGGAAGAAGGTTACCGAACAAAATTCCCCATATGTGTTTCGTACTATGGACAATAAGAGCTTGAATTCATAAAACTAGACTCATAGGAGCTAAAACAATAAAATGAAAAGTAAAATATACAACTAAGAAAAATTAAGAACAAACATTACTGAACTAATAAATTGTAAGTAGCGAGGAATGGGTTACACAGCTGAGCAGTGCTGTCCTCGGAGTAGGGCTTGAGTTACAGTTGTCCTCCCTCGTCCACGGGGATCCACTCCAAGACGCCCGGGGACACCCGAACAGGCAGATGGTGCCAAACCCTGTGTATATGTGAGGGATAGATAGATATATATGGAGATATGGATATGGATATGGATTTCTTCAGTAAATTTGTCTTCCGCCCACAAATTTAATGCCTTTTCATCTTAACACTTATCACACACTGTGGCTGGAACTTTCGTAGTTTGAGGTGTGACAGCAAAAGTAGCACACGAATTTTTTTTTTCCCTTCATAATTTTACTGATAAAAGATTTGTTTTTAGTGTAGATCTTAGCATCCTCAGCACAGTTTTATTTTTTTTCTTCATTCCTTATTAAGTCTAGAACTTCCACCTTTTCACTTAAAGAAAGCACTTTTTAGCTTCTCTTTGGCACATCGGAATGGCCAATATCACTACGCTTGCGCTGTGGGGCGACTGTGAAGTAAAATAAGGGTGACTCGAACACAAGCACTGCAGTCCCACCAGTCGATCCGATCATCATCGAGATGGCGGCTACGTGACTAATGGTGTGCAATTTAAAATTTATGAATTGTTTATCGAATCATTTATTTTTGGAATTTTCCATTTAATATTTTCAGACTGTGGTCGACCACAGTAACTGAAACCACGAAGGCGACAACACAGAGGGGGACTACTATAGTCACAGGTGAATGGAGAAGAAAAAAACAAAGCAGGATAATCAATATTAAAGACAATCACGATCAAATAAGAAATTGGTACTCCTGAAGTAGAACCTAGCAAATGAAGAAAGAATCTAAAGTTACGAAATTGAATCTTCAGATATTCCAGGGAGCATGGTTACAGAACAGTTGCCATTCTGACATTCTTAAGTAAACTTTTTGAATTTCAGGCTAATTAATTCTTGACCAATCTTCAGAGCTCTAATACCACTTATTCGTGAGAAACCTTCCCTGACTTCTCAGGTCAACCTGGTTCCTGTCGTATACTCTCAGTGCTCTGTGCTTTATCACAGTGTCTGTTATAACTGTTTTGTACATGTGTATAATAATCGATTATTCATACCCTTTCCCCCCTACTAGGCTAAAAGCTCTGTAAGGTCAGAGAGTATCTGTTTCGTCCGGTTGTTTACCCAGCATCTAGACACCTAGCTTAGTACCTGCATGCAGCGGTGGGGGGTCCTCATGGATTCTTATTTAGTAAACAAGGGGATAGATAAATACTATTGAATTATTGTGGCTTTGTAAGATATTTTAATACCTTAGTGAAACTAGCCCCTCTTCATTACTCTTTTTTTAAATAAAGTGTGACACTTTATGGATATTTCATAAAGAAACTTCCGTCCATTTGAATGAGACTCTGTTAAATTCTGATGTTTATAATTTTACAAAATTAGTTTCTAGTTTACGTTGCTTTGTTACATTGGAAAAAAATGAATTACACGTTCCTCACTAATATATTTGTTATTCTCTCTCTCTCTTTTTTTTTTTTAAACCTAAGTTTGGAAGACTCCTTGACCTGTGTCATCCTATTCATAAGAAATACCAGTTGGCTGTTACTAAGCTTTTTGGCCGGTACATGATTGCCATCGTTGTAACCTCTGAAAAGGTAGCAAGAGAGTGTATTCGATTTCTGAAGGAAGAAAGAGCTGAGCCCGAGACATTCCTTGCTCTAGATTACCTTGATGTAAGAAATTTCTAATACTTAGTATTTAGTAGTGATAAAATTTTGTTGTTTATTTTTTTTTTACGTCAGACAGGTAATGCACCGATGTCATAACCAGGTTTGAGGGACACACATCTCACAAGAGCATGAACACTTAATCATCATGCTTATGAACTATAAAAGGATCAAAATCTTGTCTTTTAAAGTATGTCTTTATTGCCTAAAACTATGGTAGCGATTGAAAAAAATCATAGCTTGTGTGCCTGTCAGTCACTCAAGAGGCTGGTGTTAGTGTATTAGCAGGCAAAAAATAATATCAAGTAGATGCTATCATTTCTTCAATATCTGGTTTTGCCATAATTCTACCTTGATGATTTTGAGGACATTGCTCTGGCCTACTAGCCAGCAATTTGTTTTATTCAATAGCAAAGAGTAGGAGATGGGTAAGACGTACGGCGTGTTGATGAAATGCCAGCCCAGAGTCTCGACTGTAAATATGTGGTCCAGGAAGTAATGTGTCAGCCCTTAGTGGAGCAGGCTGTTTTCAGCCTTGAGGTGTGTATTGAGAGGCCTGAAGGTACCCAGAGTCGAAATTCCTGACACAGGAACTCTGTCATTGTCGCGACTGATATCCTTCGGGGATTTTTTTTCTCTGTCGCACTTTCAAGACCCTGAGCTGCAGGGAGTGTGCACAGTGGTTAAGAGCACATGCCCTAGGCTTGAACTGACCTGAGTGTGAATCTCAGTCCTACTTTTAATTGGTTCTCACAAACTGTTCTTAATTTTCCTGAGCTCCAGTTTCCTCATCTGTGAAGTGGAGGAAGTAGTCCTTACCTTATTAGATTATTGCAAAGCATCGCTACAGGGAGAGTACCTAGCACAGTGCGTGTTGCAGAGAAGGGGCTCAGCAGATGCTAGCTGGGTGCTAATGGTTCAGACACGCCTTTTGCTTATACCTTCTGCCCACTAAAACTACTTAACCTAGTTCATCTGTCTGTTAAAATCCTGTTTTACTTATTTCATGCTTAAGATTTTTTTCAAGGCACACTCATTTTTTAAAAATTTAATACAGAAGATTATAAAGGAAATATTCTTACCTCTCCTCAGTGCTGAATTCCTTAATTTAGATTGCTTCCATACATACAAATTTGTATAAATATATACTCCCAAGTATATACATATTATACACATTTTGGTTGTCTTTAGGGTTTTGTTTTACAAAAATGCGATCATACTTGCTGTTTTTCAGTAATACATTGCAGATACTTTTTTGATCTATTTATAGACCCAATTTAAATGTCATATCAAAGAAGGTACGAAAGTTTTTCTGATCATTTAAATCTAAAATGACTTTGAATTTCATGATGTTTCATATGTGTCACTCTTTTGACACATATGTAAATGGGTATGATCCCCCACCAGACCATAAGATTTTGAGAGCACAGAGCACTTCTCATGCATTGCTTTGTCTCAGCTGGTTAGTGACAGAGTTGGATCTGGAAATTACTGTTTCTGGCTTTTGGTGAGTATACTTTAATAAATACTACATGAGCCAATGGTGGGATATGGTTCATCAGGTTCTTGTCAAACTTTTATTGTATATAAGTGCATACTATTAATCTCTCACTGTCGTGCTTATATACATTTTTTGAGAATGTCCTGAGTATTTGATTTTTATTTTAACATATCTAATACATTAACTACTTTTTAAACCTTTTAGATCAAGCCCATCAATGAAAGATTACGGGAGATTAAAGGCTGTAAAATGGTGATTGATGTCATAAAGACTCAGTTTCCTCAGCTGAAGAAAGTAATTCAGTTTGTGTGTGGAAATGGCCTTGTTTGTGAGACCGTGGAAGAAGCAAGGCACATTGCATTCAATGGACCTGAAAGACGGAAAGTAAGAGGCTTTAGACCGCACTTTTGGATAATTTGAAGCAGTATTTGTAAGACTAACATCTTATACACACAAACGTAAATGCTTTCATAGAACTCTTTTAATAAGGAAAAAAAACATAGAACCTAAGATGGTAATGGCTTCAGTAGTTTTTATAATGTTCAGTTGAATTTTAAAGAAAACTAACTTCTGTAGCATTTCCCAAGATCATAAATTATATTTTGGAAATTAGATTTATTATAATAATACTTTAAAGCAGTTTATTTTTTACTTTTCATATAATAAATGTCTTTGCTCGATCTCAATATTCCTTGCATTTACATATATAGTACAAGTGTTTGTGAATGTCAGCAAAGATTTTAGGCGCTTATTTTATAATCTGGGTTAATTCTTTCGTAGCTTAATGGAGATACAGCTCTCCTTTTACACATTCAAGGTTTTAACACATTTGAAGTTATAGAAATAAACAACTGAAATGAGGTTACTGAATACTAATCTCTCAAGGAAATAATTTTGGTTTTAAAAATAAATATTACTTTAGTCTCAGTTGATTAGAGTTTGTATTTAGTTAAGCAATGTTTAATTCCTCAGATTATCTGACAGTTTTTTTAAAAACTACATTTGTGATGAAGCGTTACAGAGTACCTAAGGGCATAAGCTATGAAGTAAGACCAGTGATGCTACTTAGTAATTAATTATGTGACTTTAGACAAGTTTTAACCTCTAATTTTAGTTTTTTTCATCTAATATTGGGGAAATAATAGTACGTGTTTCATAGAGTTAAAAGGATTAAATTAAGTAATAGCATGCAAAATTCTATTATAGTGCCTAGCAAATAACTTTCAAAAAGTAGTAGTCATTTTTTTATTTACTAGTAATTAAAACATTTGATCTGGAATGTCTAGTATTGCAAATTAACACAAAAGAGGCTATTCTTATGAAATGTAGTAATTTTCAATATTAAATTGTCCGTCTAACATGATTAACTCATATTTTAGTACTTCTGTCAATAATAATCTTAATGATAATGTAATCATAGTCTTAGTAATCACTGCCATTGATTTCTATATATTAAATTTAAGGAGATACAATAAGTGAGCTACTAAGCTATCTTATTTTGCTACCTAATTATGCTAAAATTTATTTTTGTATATTTGTAAAATATATTTTGTAAAATTGATTTTTGAAGATTTGTGTGGTCAGTTTAAAGAAGTCACATGAAGATAAGACTGTTTATTCTTTCTTTCATTCAATAAATATTAATGGTTTATATCTATTCACAGTAAGATGAAAGCCTTACTTACCCCTTTAGGCTATATCTTGTTCTTATCATTATTTCAAAATTTTAACTAGCTTTGTCATTTGTATCTTAAGTATATTCTAGGGGTTTTATCTTCTTCCTATTATTATTCCACATAAAGAATTTTCTCTGTGCTTTAGGATGCATAAAACATTTGGATAGATGTCACATTTTCACAGATATTATCTGATGTCTTCAATCTGTGCTTTTGGTTTTCCATGGACTTCCTATCTTTTCCTAAACTTGATACCATATTTTAAAATTTTTTAATTCAAACACTGCAAGTGACATCACAAAATGATATTTGGTTTAGTTTATAAACTACGTAGAGTATATATAAACTACATAATATAAACTATAGCAGATCTGCTAACTATAATTTGATCAAGACTTTTATAACTCAATTTAAAAATATTTTTTAAATTTATGTAAAAAATTTTTTTTGATCTGGTCTTTTTAAATACATGTGATTATTCTATTTATTCCTCTTAACCAGAGAAAACAGTTATTTGCTTCCTCTTCCCATAGACTGGATGGTTGTTACTCTAAGTAAAACATATGTAGACAGATCTATTTATGCTTTGACCTTTTAATATGGCATAGCAAAAATCAGACCTAGAAAAGTATCATTAGCTGGATAATTTGTGAAAAGATCATTTTTTCCAAGGGTTACACATATTAAACAAGAAAGAATAAAAATGTAGTATACAGTAATTTGTAAAAACTGGGTACCATCTGGAATAAAATATAACTGAATCTAAACTTCATACCTTATATCAAATTACATTCCATATGGATTAGAAATGTAAACATAAAAATGAAACTATAAGGGTACTTAGAGAAACCATGGGAAATTTTATTTTTAATTTCAGATAGTAATACCTTTGTAATATGACAAAAATCCCAAAAGCTATTTAAAAGATGAGTAAATTTACATAAACATAAAAAAATTTCTGCATGGCAAAAACTACCATAAACAAAATCAAAAGACATGGCAATCAGGGAAGATATTTGCAATTCATAGTAAACAGTAAATTTGCCTACAAATCAATAAGAAAAAGAACAAAAATATAGAAGAGTGAACAAAAGATATGAACAAACTTATTTTCATAAAAAGAATGTAATTGCTCTTAAATATGAAAACTTGTACCAAAAATATGGGAAATGCCCATTAAAAGTACAACAAAATACTATTTTCACCTTTCAGATTGATCAACATCAAATGTTTGACACCTCTTTGTGGGGAGATGCCCCTCGGTACCCTTTTGTATCTTTTGGATTTTGAACATGTGAATATCTTACCCATTTAGAAGTAAAGGAAAATGTTAAAGTATATTTTTCATGCCAGTGAAAGGCAACTTTAAAAATATGTATAATCTATATAACACAAAAATTATAGGAGAATACCTTAATAGCTTATAACACTGAAACAATATTTCTTAAAACAGCTGAAGTTGGTTCAGTGGAATGGTTGGTTATTCCACAAAGTTTTTGATGCAAAGAATTAATTTTTTATGCAGCCCGTACTCTCTAGAACTTTTATTTAATACTATTTAAAACTTTCTCCAACTCTTTATTTTATATGAGATCCCCATTGTGCCAGCCAAAGTATTTTTCAGGAAAGTGACCCCTAAGATTGGCATGGGATTACAATACTGAGCAACTAATATAAGCTATAAATAAATTGTAGTCTGGAAATAAAAATATGGTGCTTCCAGAATAGGAATTTAACTGTGAATGTAATGAAAATAGGCTATTTGAGACTACATTTACTTTTAGGAAAACATTTTTTAATAAACATAGACACTACTGAAAAAAACCTAAGATCCATAATTTTATAAATTGTTTGCCCACTGTGATTTTAGAATTGAAGAGGGCATGTAACATGATAGTTAAAAACATGGCCATAGATGTTTGACCAGCTTGGATTTTAGTTCCTGTGTATGGCAACCATACCCTGGGAAGATCTAGTGGATATTATGCTGTATA